CAAGTCCCTGGGTAAGGAGCTCAACATCCTGGACCCCAAGACTACAGAAGACATCTACAAGAGCCACCTTGAGAGCAGCCGTGTTGCTGGCATGACCAACCTTGATTCAGCTCGCCACAACCTGGCAGCCGCTTTTGTCAACGCCTTTGTAAACGCCGGCTTCGGTAACGACAAGATGATGCTGGTTGAGCAGGACAAGGAAAGCTGGGTATGGAAGACTAAAGGCGACGGCATGATGTCGACTGTGGCCTCTCTGGGTACTCTGTTGCTATGGGATGTTGAGGCTGGTTTGGACAAGATCGACAAGTACACCTATGCCGCGGAGCCCGAGATCTTGGCTGGCTCGATGCTTGCCATTGGTATCATGAACTCCGGAGCGCGTGTTGACTCTGAGCCCGCTTTGGCTCTGTTGGGTGACGAGGACAAGCTGCACCACAAGAACCCTCTTGTCCGAACCGCCAGCATCATGGGCCTGGGTCTCTCCTACGCCGGCTCAAACAACGACTTTACCTTGGAGCTCCTCCTGCCCATCATCACTGATTCTTCCCAGGATATGCAAATTTCCGCCATGGCTGCCCTGGCCTGTGGTCTGATCTTTGTTGGTTCCTCCAACCCCGAAATCAGTGAGGCTATCGTCACAACTCTGCTGGACGATGAACGCAAGAGCCAGCTTACAGACAAGTGGACTCGTTTCCTGGCACTTGGTCTTGGCTTGCTCTTCTTTGGCCGTCAGGAAGAAGTCGACGTCATCCTTGAGACCCTCAAGGCTGTTGACCACCCGATGGCGAAGCCGACGGCCGTGCTGGCTGAGATCTGTGCTTGGGCAGGCACCGGTGCTGTCCTGAAGATCCAGGAGTTGCTCCACATTTGCAACGAGCATATTGAGGATTCAGACGAGAAGAAGGGTGACGAGCTCCTCCAGTCATACGCAGTAATCGGTATCGCACTCGTTGCCATGGGCGAAGATGTGGGCCAGGAGATGGTTCTTCGGCAATTCGGCCATCTGATGCACTACGGCGAGCCCAACATCAGGAGAGCAGTTCCTCTGGCCATGGGTCTGATCAGCCCCAGCAACCCCCAGATGAAGGTCTACGACACGCTCTCCAGATACTCCCACGACAACGACAACGACGTTGCTATCAATGCCATCTTCGCCATGGGTCTCCTGGGTGCGGGTACGAACAACGCCAGACTTGCCCAGCTTCTTAGACAGCTGGCCAGCTTCTACCACCGCGACCAGGAGTCTCTCTTCATGGTGCGCATTGCTCAAGGTCTTTTGCACATGGGCAAGGGTACCATGTCGGTCAACCCCTTCCACACTGACCGCAACGTTCTTTCGCGCGTGTCTACGGGTGGTCTGCTCGCCGTGCTGGTCGCCATGATCGATGCCAAGTCGTTCATCACATCTAACTCACACTACCTGCTCTACTTCCTGGTGACGGCTATGCACCCCCGTTTCTTGGTGACGTTGGACGAGGACCTGAAGCCGTTGAAGGTCAACGTCCGCGTTGGTCAGGCGGTTGATGTTGTCGGCCAAGCGGGTCGGCCCAAGACTATCACCGGCTGGCAAACACAGAGCACGCCGGTTGTTTTGGCGTACGGCGAGCGTGCAGAGCTTGAGGATGAGCAGTACATCAGCTTGAACAGCACACTAGAGGGATTGGTGATCCTCAAGAAGGTACGTTTGAGGATTCGTTATTAATGTGAAGGCGTGCGTTGCTAACTAATTGCAGAACCCCGATTGGGTAGAGGAGAAATAGATGATTTCAGGGTGTTCGGGGGGACCTGGGATCGTAGGTTCAGGCATGGAACTGGGACACGATACACTGTATAGTAATCTTACGTCTGTGAGTGGCATTCGAAATGTCATCAGACAGATGAGATCCCACATCAATAGACGGATCAGCTGCAATGAAGAGGCGTTTTAACGTTTACACATTTTCGAAAAGTGACAATATTCTTGAATGCATATAAATCTTTTGAGATCCCCGGTTAACCGAACGCAAATATGCGAGCCGCAGCCTTGTACGGTTTCGATTTGCACAACCAGGTCAGGCCGAAGCCCGACGGTGCGATGGCCAGCATGCCGGCTATCATCTTTGAACCTGATACGCAAATGAACGTGGTAAAGGAAGTGTGGCATTTTCCAGTCTACTACCAAGGACTTTCTCCATGAGCTCGGAGACGTTCGCATAGCTGAACACTCTTGCAGTATTATGGCTAGGTTTGGGGGCTCGCCATAAAAGGTATTATTCGATTAATGTTCTGCCGTTACTGATTGCTCAGGCGATTCTTGTTATTCCATATAGTGTATATACGTAGCATCAGTGGACACTCCTACTGATTAAGGGTTACCGTTTCTTCATCACGGTCAACCTCCCGCCCTCGTAATAGGCCAAGTTCTTGGAGGACTTTCATAAGCTAACCCGGTTATTATACGCATAACTACCAACAGAGCAAACACAGTGTCCAGGCACATCACCAACGACAAGAGCAACGGCCTGCTAGCTACCTAATATTGAATGATGTCTGCTAGCAAGTGGGCTGCGGCGTCGGTTTGAATCTGATCTCGGTCAGACGAAGGTGTGTATTCGCAGATGCTGACACAACGACTCCGCTTGCCTCATGCAGCAATTTTTGCCGGTGCGAACCAATAGCCTTCGTTTCCCGGGGGAGATCTGAGATTGGGATTTCAACCCGATCCGAGATGCGATGAGATTATCACATCAAGTAACACATTTCTGGCCCAGCCCAAAGAGGCCACCGCTACCCTCTCACGGATAGATGTTGGCAATTAGAGACAAATGTGCGTCCAGATGCGCATGCGCATGGGGGATATGTCTTTACTTTACACCATGGACGAAAGAAAGGTCTTGCTTGTACGTAATGGACGTCACAACGGTTGCATGGTGGGATATTGCCTGTAAAGCGATACGGGCACAACGGGGAAGTGGACGGGATGGGATAGATAGGGGATGGGTACAAAAGGCTAAACCAGGCTGAGTTGAGCTGACCGCGTTGCCGCGCTGTAACCCTGTCTGATACTTATGCGAAAAGACTGGCAGTCTGGCGGAACTTTGGAGAGGAGACGGAGAGGAGGGGCAAAACTGCTAGCGCCGGTGGAGGCTGGGGGATGGATGGTGGAAGTGGAGGGGATGGGAATGGGCCGGGCAGAGAAAACGGATGTTCTGGGCTGGGGATGTCGTGAACCAAAGCCACAACACTACGGAGTACAGGTGGATCTACTGATGGGAAGTTCAAGGGTGGCAGTCACCACTAATAGCACGCGAAAAGAGAATATTGAAGATTGCGAGTCTGCCCTGTGATTCTTTGAGTATGAGTGGGAGGATGCGGCGGAATGTTACACGATGGGATTGCGTGTGTTGATTGTTTGGGGTCCGTTGGCCGGATGTTATTGTTGATGGATAAGATTCCGGGGTCCCGGTCACGACGGCGGAGCCCGGGGAGGCGGCCGACGGGCCCCTTTGCTGGGTTCGGCGGGATGCGTCGCATCTGGGCTCGTCTCTGTCTCGTCTTTTCTTATCAGCTCCGGGATGTAAGTACATTGGATACGGGTAAGTACGGAGTATAGGTACTGAGTGTCGATGACAGAACTAAGGGACAGACTTGGAAGTAGCTCCCACCCGCTGGAAAGGTTCCAAACGGCGGGTAAACTGCCAAAAACATAAAAAGTTGGTTAGATCTGCAAAGAGATGGCAAGAAGGATGCGGGATGCCAAGCTTTGAGAAGGCAAGATGCTACGGGATGTAGATTCCCTGGTGTGTCATTGGCCGGATGAGTCAGGCGATTGGCAAGCAGCGGTTCGCTTACAACGTGCCGTGGTGGGATGAAAGAAAGCTCTGGGAAGGCACGACTTGTAAGTTGCACCTACCTTACCTCATGCCATATTGGTGCGGCTGCTAGGTACTTGCCTAGTGAGATGGATGGCAAATGACAACGGGAGAGAAAATGTCAGAGCTGCAAGGCAAGTGAAGCTAAGTCTACCTTGCGGAGTACTTGCCTTCGGATATCATTTAGTTACCTTTGGGAAAGTACGTAGTACGGATACAAGTGCAAAGGGCGCCACTGCTATGCGAGGCAGTGGATCGCGCAATTACTGGGTGGATATCCAGGCGAATCTAGCCGCTTCGCGCTTCGCGGGCAACAACGGGGAGACCCTGCAAAGCAAGAGCGAGACTGGCTGACTGTGGACTGGGAATTCCTCTATCTCTCTCCCGTCTGTCTTTTCCATCCATGCTTGTTTTCCATGGATGCGCTATCCGTACTTCGTTACTTCGTACGCGTTCCCTGGCAGTGGCACCGTACTCCGTAGCCCAAGATGGTCTCATTCCCCAGCTTTCGCCTCGGGAAGTGCGCGCAGCCCACCCAGCCAGCTCCAGTCCAGGTCCTCAGCAAAGGGCGCGGGTGACTCTTCCGACTTCCTATCTATGCCTTAGACTAATAACTTCCTCGTCACCCCTCCACCGCCCACGTTCATGCTCTCCTCCTCTTCCGCCTCTTCTGCCTCCTCTCTTCTCGCCGAGCTTTCTCCTATCTGCAAGCTCTTTCTTTTTTCTCTTCAAAAACAACCTACGATCAGGGAGAAAGTAAACCGAATCGTACGAGACGTCCATCCGAACATTGGCATCCGTTCCCGCGTAACAGACTAGATTGGCCCTCGCTTGTCCAATATCTCTTTTGGAGAAGCGCAAATCGGACGTTGGAGTTTCGGAGGCACGCCAAAGCAAATCATTGCACACCGACACCGGCCTGAGTAATCCTTCGTCGCATCCGACTGCGCGACGTCGTCTTACCTGAGATTCCCCGTTCGAAGCACCAAGACACGTGCAGATTATTGGTTGGGGTTACCTAGCGGATTGCGCAACTCGCATTGAGAGCAAAGGCGAGAGGACGACGTTATAGTACGGCGGAGAACAAGGTGTTACTGACCTCCGCATCTCTACACCTACACTTGAAAGTCGGTCAGCGACAACTGCGTCATGGGGGACGACCGCAGCATTCCCATCAAGGCGGCTTCTTCGAGCCGCGACTTTGTCGCCCAGCTCAGCTCGTCTTTCATGACGGGAACCCCGCCCGCACAAGAGCTCCTGGCAAGAGATTTGGCAGAATGCTCAGAAGACGAATACGTCGACGAGAATGAGGATGCTATCGGCTCCGACGACGAGGACGTGTCCGCCGAGGGCCCTCTCTTCTACCGCCGCCCGAGCGGTGTTGCATTCGGCACCTCCCGCCCCGTTATGAACCCGCAACCGATATACGCCGCCGAAGAACCACCAGTCCTCACTAGAGTCGAAAAGAAGCAGTCGCGCGATGCCGAGCTGAGTCTGCTGCGTGATAACCATCTTTTGCCTCCCAAACATGCCCGAGAGGAAAACGAGCCATTCTATCGCCGCGCCTACAGACGTCTCTTCAGCACAAAGGTTCCACTCGAGCCTCACGATGAAGAGGCACCCCAGGCCATCGTTCGTCGGCCCTCTGAATCAACCCCTCTATTGTCCGGAGCTCCAGCGCCAGATGTTGATGGCCATGGGACTCTCAATGAGCAGTGGGAAGCGGCAGTCTCGACGGGCCAACTTCGCACTACTTGGCAGCGCGAAGCCAAGACCATCATTCAGTATGCCAGTCCGCTCATTGTTACCTTTATGCTGCAGTACTCGGTCAATGTTGTTTCCATCTTCGCCGTAGGACACATTGGAAAGATTGAACTTGGCGCCGTGAGCTTGGCAACCATGACAGCGACTATCACCGTCTACGCGCCCTTCCAGGGTCTCGCGACGAGTCTCGATACTCTCTGTGCGCAGGCGTACGGATCCGGACACCGCCATCTCGTCGGACTGCAATTTCAGCGCATGACATATTTCTTGCTCATGTGCTTTGTCCCGCTGGCCGTGTTGTGGTTCTTCAGTGAGTCGGTGCTGCGGCTCGTCATCCCGGAACCTGAGTCTGCGCGGCTGGCTGGCCAGTATCTGCGCATGCTGATCCTGAGCGGACCGGCCTTCGTCTTCTTTGAGGGTGGGAAGCGGTTTGTGCAGGCGCAGGGTCTGTTTCAGGCCACCACTTGGGTCCTTTTGGTCGCTGCGCCCATCAACATCCTGTTGAACTGGCTGTTTGTCTGGAGGTTGGGATGGGGTTTCATCGGAGCTCCTGCTGCGGTTGTTTGCACCCAGAACCTGCTTCCGCTGCTGTTGTTCCTTTACGTGCGCTTCATCGACGGATACCAGTGCTGGGGCGGTTTCAGCAAACGAGCTCTGTCAAATTGGGGCCCGATGCTTCGCTTGGCTTTGCCCGGCATGATTATGATTGAGGCCGAGTACATGGCTTTTGAGATCCTGACTCTGTTCTCGAGCCAGTTCGGTCCGGAATACCTGGCGGCCCAGAGTGTCGTCGTCACGCTGTGTGCTATTACCTACCAGATCCCATTCCCCGTCAGCATCGCGGCGTCCACCCGAATCGCTAACCTCATTGGTGCCGGGTTGGTGGATGCGGCAAAGATTACCGGCGGAGTGGTAAGTTCATTAACCCCCCCCCGGCCCCCCCCGCTGTGTACTTCCCCCCCCACCCCTCTCCCCCCACTCCCGCTGGGGGCCGCCCCCTACCGCCACCTGCTTGGGTGCGGGGGGGGGGGGGGTGGCAAAAATTGCCGGCGGGGGGTGGAGTTTATTGACCCCCCCCCCCCCCCCCCCCTCCATTACACGCTCCAGGAAAACCTAGTTTCGAAAATCATATTCTGACTGATTCGGCAGGCATTCGCAGCAGCTCTGATTGTGGGCGTGTTCAACGTCATCCTCTTTGGCAGCTTGAGATTCCACCTGCCAAGACTGTTTACCAATGATGAAGAGGTCATTGCCATTGTGGCCAACGTGCTTCCGCTGTGTGCGTTGATGCAGGTCTTTGACGGCCTATCCGCGGGAGCACACGGTTTACTGCGTGGCATTGGCCGCCCTTCCATCGGTGGCTATGCGAACTTGACGGTGTACTACCTCATTGCGATGCCAATCTCCTTTGGGACCGCGTTTGGTCTTGATTGGAAGCTCAAGGGTTTGTGGCTGGGCGTCACGATCGGACTTGCCTTGTAAGTGCCCCGTTCTTATTTGGTTTTCTACTCCATCTCTTTCCTCAGATTTCTCGATTCTCCGGGCATGGGATGAGAGACGTGCAAAGTGCGTATGAGAGGAATTTGGCTGACTTATGTATCTTGTCATAGGGTCGCTATTATCGAGTATTCGTTTGTATACTTCACGGACTGGCACAAGGCGGCCAAAGAGGCGGAGTCGAGAAACCAGGCCGAGTGAAACGTCCTTGGCCATGAGTTCGGTCACGACTTTTTACGTATACCCCGGAATCGGTCAGCGGGGTCATGATAATTGTTTGGCTACAAATTGGTGATTTAATGATTGACTGTCGAAGATGTACGTCTGGATATATCAGATATATCCTGATTCACATCTAGTAGGTCTTGAATTTCTGGCTTGGTCATGTTTAGCTAGCAAGCGAGCGAGCATCGCAAAGCACAGCATAACTTTGGAAGTAATTGACGGGAGCGGGAGAAGAAGAGAAGAATGGTTCACAGATGATACGAATGCGGGCTCGGCCGTTGCAATGCCAATGTCAAAGTGTCTGCGTTGCCCTCGCTCGATGAGACCAAGTCAGGTAAGCTGGTGCATCCTTTCGTTCCATAACCTCTGGTAGCATGGCGTGTGATCCTGTGACGTCTGTGGGAAGTGTCCGCTCAGATACTGACGGACGTCCGTGGTGGTTCGCGACCTGTCAGAACCACGTAGGGCAAGGCAGAGAAGCGGCTTGCAAGAGTCTAAGCCGGAAACTTCCCAACGAGTTCTTTCTAGTGGTACGAAAACGCATCAGGTCCAACTAGAGCAGAGATGTACCTGGATAATCCCCCGTTCGACAATGAGGCTGATAAATCCTTCCCCTCCAAGAAGCCCTGAAAGGTGGAATTAGAAGCCCATTTCTCTCCGTTAAAGTTTCCGGGCCTCCAAGTGAAACTTTTGAGTTATGGTGCCAGTGCGGAAGCTCTCTCCAACTCAGGGACCGTCTTGCGGCCTGGGCAGCGCAGAGAACCACACCTCCAAAAAGGCAAGCTAAGCCAACAAGACAGGGATGCGGGAGATTGGCAAATTGGGGCCACGGCGAAAACCAGTGACAAACATCAATAGTCAGCTCTGTGAGTGCGAATTGGAACTGATTTCAGGTGGCCCGCCTGCTCACCCTGCCACCGGGGGAACGAATGGCGGGTGCAGGGGTGTGAGGGGCACTGATCATTTTCGAACAGTTTCCCGCCTGGGAGGATTGGAGGGGGAAGGGGAAGAAGAAGGTCAGAAGGGGAGACCCCTCCTTTTCTGCGAATCGCTACATTGGTACCAATTCCTCGTTCTTGCGCAACCTCTATCTTTTGCACTCTCGCACATTCGCAACTTCGGACGGGGGAAGTTCCGAACAAACCTACTCTTTTGCTCTCTCACACAATTGCCTATCGGTCTTTGCGCAACTTTATAAGAAGAGCAGTAAGCCTCTCCAGCTCCCGCCCCTTTGTGCGCATGCGCAAAAGCTATCTTTGTAGCTATAGCTAGCTGTACAGAAAAAAAAAGTTTCGAAATTGGAAAGCTGACACAACACGCGACAATAGACGGGGTACACAACGAGACTTCCTCTTCCACGGGCAAACACGAAAAAATAAAGATGTCTACTACCACGACGACCACGACGACGGCCAACGAGGGCATCACGGCCGAGTCGATTCTGCGCCTGTTCCCCGACATCGACACGAGCACCGAGGCCCTTTCCGGTCACGATGCCGAGCAGATTCGGCTCATGGACGAGGTGTGCATTGTGTTGGACGAGAACGACAAGCCTATTGGCAATGCGAGCAAGAAGGCCTGTGAGTAGTTTCTCCTGTCCTCCTGGGCCGTCCGCCGGTTCCGCGTTGTGTATAAACCCTCTCCGTCGAGTTGGTCGTTGCGGTGACTAGCCAAGCGCTGCCACCTTGTGACAAGGACAGAACGAGAGCGCGCAAGAGGAAGCAATAGAAGGGGGGAACTACAAGACAACACAGTCGACTGACACTGAACTCCCCAAAACAACAGGCCATCTCATGACCAACATCGACAAGGGCCTCCTCCACCGCGCCTTCTCCGTCTTCCTCTTCGATCCGGAAACCAACCGCCTGCTCCTGCAGCAGCGCGCCACGGAAAAGATCACCTTCCCCGACATGTGGACCAACACGTGCTGCTCCCATCCGCTGGGCATCCCCGGCGAGACGGGCGCGAACCTCGAGGATTCGGTCGCGGGCGTCAAGCGCGCCGCGCAGAGGAAGCTGGAGCACGAGCTCGGCATCGACCCGAAGCAGGTGCCCTTTGATGACTTCCACTTTTTGACGAGGATTCATTACAAGGCGCCTAGCGATGGCAAGTGGGGAGAGCACGAAAGTATGTTTTACCCTTCTTTTCCATTCCCTTTCTCTTAGGAAGTTTGGGTAAAGAAGACAATGTATAACCTTTGCTAACTCGGTCACAGTCGACTACATTCTCTTCATCAAGGCCAAGGTCGACCTCAAGCCCAACGAGAACGAGGTCCGCGCGACGCAGTACGTCAGCGCCGACGAGCTCAAGAAGCTGTTTGAGGACCCCCAGCTCAAGTTCACCCCCTGGTTCAAGCTCATTTGCAACTCGATGCTGTTCCAGTGGTGGGAGAGCCTCGACTCTGGGCTGGAGAAGTACACCAACGAGCAGGAGATTCGTCGCATGTAAATGAGAACGGATGACTGATTTTCTGATGGCAAAGAGACCTGGCAACGTGGAAGGACCCCAATGGTCCGTCATGAGAGAGCATTAGACGTGGAGTTTTGTCTCGTCGTTGCAGTTTTTCTTCTCTGTCTCCCTCTCCCTATCTCTTGCATGTGGCGGTAAAAAAACAAAACAGACACTGTTGAAGTGTTCCCTGCCCTTCTTTATTTTCTGAATTTTCGTAATCCTAGATATCCCCCCTTTTTCATCATATGAATACGACTTGGGGCGTTGGCTGCTGGCCACGTTGAATTGAAAAACTTTGTTCTAATGGAAAATGTGGCCTGGTGATCGATGATGGCGGAGGGGATTTCAAGTTATGCTTGTTGATGAGAACGGGCTGGCGGAGATTTCTACTTCGTCCCTTCTCGTGGAACACCAAGACCGGTGGTAGAGGAGTCATTGGGAGCAACGCGGAGTCCTCTGGGCTTAGGGAGCCTTGTCTCGGGATGGCTGTTTGTTTTGAGTATGCAGCTGGAGGGAGGCTACCTTACTAAGAGGGGCTTTCTAGATTCTAATTTGATGCTCAATTATGGATGCCGGAGGAGCTTTTCCCTACAACGGGAGCGTAGTACGCTATTTATACGTTGGAGTTGCTGAATGAGGCCGTTGTGGATGATCATGGGGCAGCTTTGGTTTCGTTCATCCTCGGGTTAGTGCTCCATGAGAATGGGGAAAAGCTCCCGCAGTGCTTCGATATTTGCGAGATAGCAGAGCAGGTTGATACGTCTGAAGATTAGCATTATACTGTAGTTGGGGATTTGGGAATCAATTGCAATTCAGACTTCCGTATCGCTGGATACTCGAAAAGCTTGAAGAAGACCCTCACCGCGGGACTTCCCAATCACTCTATCAATGCCGCGAGTACAGGACCCACATCACGTTTCTACTGATGGATTTTGATGGTCTTTGCTCATAATCCGGAGGAATCCGGAAAATGAGGAGCATGGATGATCTGCTCTGGCTTGTCACCAGATGTTTCGTATGCAGGGAGCCAGTCGCGATGGAATCGACCCATTCCAGAGCGGTGAGCTACTTTCTTGGCCTACTCGAACGGTTTCCTTTGTCTTTCAAACCTCTCGAATAATCTTAATGACCTGAGATCAAATAAGAGGAACAGCTACGGTATACAAGGGCCAGGATGTTTCAAGGAGCCCGATTCTCAAGACGAGAACGATTGATAAGTCCATGGTTCCTGTCTTGGATGCCCACTTACCTTGCGCCTCTTACGCCAGGTGATTATTGTCTGAGTTGTGCTTCCGGGTATAACCAGAACGTCCGCCAGTGGCCCTGGACGCACATGTTAGACGTGCTACTCGCTTGGAAGGAGGCAGGAGCTTCTTCTTTGGACGTTATTATCGTGGTTGTCATAGCTACACGGCCAAGCAACACAATGTTATGTTGGGGGTCTTGGTACAAAGGCTAGGCACTGCTCGGGTGAACTTCGCCATCGCTGATTTGAAGTTCGACAAGTATAAGTCAACATTGTGATATCATACTGAGCGATTGGGGCTTATCCTGAACAGACTGGAAAGGTGAGTATTGACGACCTTGAAATAGACCTCAGTGAAGACATTGCCGTTGTCAACAAGTGAAAGCGCACTTGTCTGTGCAAATACACAAATAGCATATATTTATGATCACAGACAGATACATGTACGTCAATCCATGGAATTGAATTTGTTCCCGCCCAGTTTGCATCAGGAGCCTCCACCCGCACCTGTCATGGCAGCAACATCTTGGTCCAAGTCTCATGTTTACCAGAGATTAAAAGAGAGCTATCTCGATACGTTGTACATCACAAAGCTTAACTGTCGTCATCTAGGTTGCCGAGAACGCCCAATAAGGATTCTTCATCGAGTGACATACTGTAAGTAAGACAACATGAACCGGTTGGCGTGCCTCAAAGGAATTATGTTCTGACCTTAGGTGTCCAGGTATCTTGTTGTCAGAAACAACGTTAATTACCAAAACAGCGTAAAGGTAGGTATGTCGCGAGCGCGATATGTAACCTATACATGTCTTCGGACTTGCCCAGGTGATGAGTTGCACCTTCCATTCACTCGCATCTTGCCTCGATGCTGGGCCAGGCAAGCACGATGATGTAATATGGGTGACATCAACCCGCTGTTCTGGACTGACAAGTTCCATTCCATTCCATCTCGTTTAACATACATCAGCAACGACGTTGCTGTTCAATGGTGAACCCAATTCTGCAAGGCTCCCGCTCTACTTTTTGAAAATGCCCTCAAAGGCCGTCTAGAAGGGGCCGGTCTCACCCCCAGAAGCTCTTCTGGGGTTTCGAATGTATACATGCCATTCGCTTTCAACTTCGTTCTTCACAGCTAACTCGGAGCAGAGGTTAAGAGTAAGACACACAATCGATCTACCAACGATGAGCGCCGAGTAATACGATGCAGCAGTGCCCAACCAACGGTTCAACGATACTCACATCACTCCTCATACTTGGCAGAGCACTGCATATGCACCCCACGTGCGAAGGATGGCGCGGTAGTCCAGCTTATCTCATTACTCGTCACTGCATCTGCACCTCTTATCTCGGCAACATTCCTCGCCTTTGCCCACACAACGCAAACCAGCAGAGCCTCCAAGACGCCAAGCCTATCCGCCTGACACTCACTGCAACTCATCCCGCGCAGGTGTTTGTTGGGTCAAGCCTGGGAATGGGAGCTGATTCCCACCCTCCCAATGAATCCTTTTTCCCGGGCTGAAGCCCAAGCTGGAGCGGCCGCGGGACACGGAACCCGCCACTGTGTGCGGTACATCCGGACACCGAACCCGGGAACGCCGTGGACCCTGACGGAGCTGATAGGGATCAGTGGGACGCATTGGCCGCAGGAAGTGCCACAACGTACTATGCCGTTATTGGCATGTACAGCCGCTGCGATTGGTCGACTTTGGGAGCTATGTGACGGTTGATCAAAAGATACAGGCCACAGGCCACTCCCAACTGACGATCTCTAGGATACCTGACCCAACGACAGGGTCTCGCCAGCCTGCCTTTCCCCGCACACCGGCTGTCTTCCTCCATCTCCATCTCTCGTCACCGAGACATGCTCCAGTGAGGATGCCTTGCTCTGCGGCATCCGCCGATGCTCCTCAACCATTCAACCACACTGTTATTAATCAGGCCGCTTCTACAAGATCATCCTCTGCACTAGGTGGAGGCGAGCGGCGTTGGCTAGACCTGCATACCCGTACACACCAGGTCGGGATGGCCACCGTCAGTCCTGATGCCGTACACGAACACATGCCCAAATCTCCACGGTCAACGGCCTGGTCTGTTGCTTGAAAGCTGCAGCCCAGGTCACCCCAGCCCGCCCTCCCCCTCATCAACGTTTACGCCGCTGTCCTCGTGCCACCTACTATTACGGCATATCCTGATAGTTTGAATCCCATCAGCATGGTTCTGGCTAGTGTTGAGGCAAGCCAAGCCGGGTATCAAAGGTGCAAAGGTAACTTTGCCCGCATACTGTCGGTGCAAGCAGCATGGCACGACTGCTTCCCCCCTCTGCTCTATGCTGTGCGGGCATCATTGATGGTCGATCCAGAGTTCTCGCCGTGTTCAGCTCCTCGCCCTTGTCGGAATCAACAAACAATGTAGAGTACCTATCAACTACCGCCACCGCAGTCTCACAGGCGCGTGTTGATCCAATGCCCTGTGCCTATCTTTCCGTACCTACCCTCAACGTCCTACATCTCACAATCGCTACAGTCTCAAGGTTTCTCAGCTATCTGGAGACCATCCCGCGCAGGAGTTCCTCGACTCTCTCCACAACCTCCACTTCCCCCATCATCCCAGCTCGTGGTCTCACTCCCACTATCCCTCGCACTCACTATCTCTCAGACTTCTGCCAGCCTACCCCTAGTGTATCTAGTGACACTCCCCAAGCTACATAACCCCCCAGCTCCTCTCCGCTCCTCACCTGGTCCCCCTTCCGCTCCTCTCCTCTCCTCATCTTATCGTAATACGCTTTGGATAGGCTCTCACCAACAACACTGTTTGGCTTCCTACCAAGACAAGGATAAGGATCAAAGTCCTTTCTGCATCGAGAGTTCCTCGTCTCGAAGGCCCCAAGAATAGGGGGGCAGTTCTCTGGACACGATCACAGCCGCGAGCTGTGCTTTGTTGCTAGACTGCTACTCACTGGTCTCGACCAACATTCAATACCAACATCCATTCACATACTCTCAAACTCTCAACACGATACTCCTTCAATCAACGTCATTTGACAATTTGCCTGACAACACCCACCCACCAAATCTCTTTGCCCATTTATCGCATATCGCGTGTTGTGAAGACACTGCTGTCTCCCGCGTCTTGCTGACGATCCCATCCCTCAAACATCGAACTTCAACAAGCCTACCTAGCCAAAGGACGTAACCCGTCAAAAAAATCATTATTGATGTCGGTTGACCTTCGTACAAGCCTCAATTGCCTTCGCCATCCATCCAGGTTTATGCCCGTCTCGAGAACACAACTCTCGAGAGACCATACGGGTGATAGTATACAGAATTTAAGTACGTCGGGTTCAAGCTCACTCCGGAGTGTTCCACCGGCAGAGTGAGATAGAGAGGCCCGTAATAGCGCTGACAAGAAAACCAAACAGATTCGTGAACAAGACAGGCTCTCCTGTCGAAAATTGAAGCCCGTCATGGAGCACGTAAGCAAAAGCGTCACCCTTGTCGAGCTCAAACGTTCTCTCGTGCCCCCGAAATGGGAGGATACCGTGCGTGTCATTGGCATGTCGGAGTGCAAGGAGGCCGGCCTTTCGCTGGCCCACGCCTTTGCTGCTGATGATCTTAGCCAGTATCTCCTTGATGCCGACGATATGGCCAACCTATCGGCCGAGTCGAAGTGGAAGCTGCACGTCGACATCATGACGTACATCGCAGCTGCCCACTCTCTTAACGGTATTGTCACCACCATTGGCTCAGACTACGATGCCGTTGCGCTGTGGTGAGTTTTGTGTCTCAGTTTTTTCCTGCTTTGCTCATGACGGCATGGCATCTCATGACGACCCTGTCCCGCTCAGAGGCTTTCCCTATCAAAAAGCAATATTGGACTAACATCAGACGGATCATGATAGGATGCCTCCTGGAAAGGACACTGATGGATGGTTGACCATCCTCCGCAGCGGGTTGTGGCGGCTCTATTTCCAGCTATCTGTGGAAGCTAGACGTCGATACTACGACGAGCTACTGCCTCTGCTGCATGACACCAAGCTGGAGGTCATGGGCGAGCGGGACAATGATTGCTACTACCTGGTCTACCTAGGGACCAAGCCCAACGCCCGGGGCAAGGGGTATGCGAAGAAGCTGCTCAACGACATGATTGAGAGGGTACGTTGAAGGATCGCCATCTGGATTCTTTTCACAACTGTTGCATCTGGCAAACAACATTCGGCCTTGTAACAGCATTGTATCTTGGCTGTGCCCTGACTAACTCTTGGAGCAGGCCGACGCGGAAAATCGTGCCGTCTACCTCGAGTCCAGCTCTCTGTCCAACAACGAGTACTATCTCAAGTATGGTTTCGAGTTTAAGCGCGAGATTCGGATGACGCGTGGAGACACACCCGTCAGCCTGTTCATCATGGTCCGCGAACCACGCGCGCACAAGAGCGGGGGAGGTCAGACGTACTCGACGGTAGTCTCGAGCAACATCAAGCTGCAGATCAATGCCGTGATGAAGGAGACGGCCAGGGTCTGAATGGCGGAGGGTGTTGAAGTTGTGAGCATCCTCCATCCTTCCTTTCGACCTGGAAACTGGTGATGTGATGTGTGTGCTGTGCGTTTTGTTTCTGCGTGTCCGGAGGTGGTGTAGTGTTACCTGCCTTTTTTGTGTTGATGATCCCTTCATTCATAGCTGCGGTCCTTGTGCGCAATGCTTGCCACCTGTGTCTCATGCTGACCACAGCTCGACTTTTTAACATTGACCTGAATGGGCGCGTCTGGTTCAACACCGACGCTTATGCGTTTGAAACTCACTGTCCCTACTGCAGCGGCGATGGAATGATGTCTTTGTCGATTTTTACGAATGTTTTTGGATTTCGTCCTTTTAGTTTGCTTGTATCTACCGACTAGCTCTAGCCCTTCATTAGAATACTGACCGATTCACTCATTTCAATCATATCAATGGTTTGCGGTCTTTCCGCTGGTCCCTCGTCCCTTTTCAAGGCCTCACTCGTGACAGCATACCGACCAGGTTGCTGACACCATGCGTGACTCAACACTCCCGGTGAAGCCACCATTGAGATTTTTCCCCTCTGCCCAGGGGACTTGTCCTCCCTACTTTAGCAATTCTGACATTTCCCTGATGCTTTTTCGATCCGCATCCATTCTTGTCTCCGCACACTTCTTGGCTTCCAAATTTAATAGTCGAGAATAGCCCAAGTCTCGTCGTCAATGGTGGTGTAAATCAGGCCCTGGGAGAGCAGCTCATCCGCCGCGTCTATCGTGGCCCGCATGGCCAATCCCGCACCGCTCGAAATCTGGTTCAGGTGCACGCCCTCGTTGCCGCCGGGGGCATTGTTGATAAAGTTGAACATCTTTTGCGCGTTCGCCGAGACACCTCTAAGCTTGGAAGCCTGCGCGGGGTTGCCGCCGCCCGCCGCCGCACCACCGGCACCGTATCCATCTCCACCGTCAACGAACATGCCGTCCTCGCCTCCTCCCGCACCGCCGTTCGCCGCGGGACCGCTGCCGTCGGCGTTGAGGGGTCCCTTTGTGAAGTAGAGGTGAACGTAGGTGGCCTCGAGGAGGTGGTAGTTGACCTCGTTGAAGTCGGTGACGGGGCGGATAAAGTGCGCGCCGACGTGGCGTTTGCCGTTGAACGACTTGAGGCGGCCCCAGACGCGGACGTGGCCCTCGAGCTCGAGCTTCTCGTCGGCGTCGTCCTTTTTATCCGTGTCGACCCACTTCTTCACCTCGATGAGCCCCGTGCCGTCGTCGAGCTTGAGGGTGATGTTTGTGGGCTGGGGCGAGATCTGGCGGATCTGGGCGACAAAGGTGACCTGGGTGACGGTGGCGCCGTCGATTTTGAAGTCGGCGCCCGGGTAGGCCTCCTCGGCGTCGATGACCTGCTTGATTGTGACGGGGCGGAGGGATTCTTCGCTGTAGGCTTTTCCGCCGCCGCCCTGGGAGCCGCCGCCGGCGCCGCCTTGGGAGCCGCCGTAGACGAAGCCGCCTGCGTCGTCGCCGCCGCCTGCGCCGTAGGAGGTTTTTGTGAAGCCGCCGTATGAAGCTGTGTAGGTAGGGTAAGTGGTTAGTTGAGGAGCTTTCGAGGTTTAGGGGAGTGGAGCTGATGTACTCATTGTGTATGTGGTATCTCTGAGAAAGGGTCTAGAGGTTGTCGTGGATATGTGAGGTCGACGGGGATTGTGTTTTTGGGGGTAAGAGGACGACGGGATGGTGGTTGTGGTGGGATGTGTGGTGGTGGTAGGTTGGGTGGTTTTGAACGGGAACGCGTCTTTTTGCCTGGCGACGCGACTGGGGGTTTAATTGATGTGCACGACGTGCAAAGTGCCACCCGCTGCCCGCTGTGGAATGCTGGTGCCCCGCGTTGGGACCATGACTGGATGAAAGCTGAGGGTGGGGGGCTCTGAGGTCCAAGATGACATAAGCTACATAAAATGGTCCGTGCTCAATGGCACCGGTTATCGGGAGCCGACAGATATCAGCTGTGGTCTTCAGTCGAGATAGGTAAGTTTATACGGTGACGGTGACGGTGAGTGAGTGAGTGAGTAAGTGAGTGCCTCACTTCACCTAGACGTTATTAGTGAGCAATCAGGAAAGATTGAGTACTGGGAACCAATGTATTACTGAGGTTCTGTAAGATTGGATGCAGTGGCTCGAGTGCCAACGGTGCACTGATTACAGATCCTTAATTCTGAGGTATGAATTCAAGGTATCGACATGTCATGATGTCTGCTAAACAATCTTCTTTACCCAGCACATGTCTCTTACCTCCAACTTATTTTGTATTGGGAAACAATTTGAAAAATCTAGTGACTCTCCGACCTTGTTGACTGATGACTCTAGTGCACAATAAGAATATGAATCACATGAATTCTAGATGAGGCCAAGTGAGGTTCCATGAGGTTCTCTCCAGGGTGACTGACCGATGTGGCGGTTGTCACTGCTCCGATTAGCCTCGGCTGACGGCGATTGCGGAGGGTCCCACACTGCCAGGGCCCCCACAACGCCTTCAACAGCGACTGGATCACTGGAGCTGGACCGCCTGGAGGATGTGGCCCGACGCCTGGAGTGCCGCGACCAGGGAGCTCCTCCTCCTCTTTCTCGGGACTTTGGGGGTGGGCGAACGTCCAACGTTGGCGCCGGGCGTTGCTTCTGACATCAACCATCCCAGCACCTCCAAACCCAAATTCCCCTTTTGCCTTTCCAGTCTTTCATCTCCATTGTGACAACATCCCACCCGTCAGAGCCACGCCATTGAAGTAGCATTTTCTTTCGACTTCCACCGTATTCCCATACCTCGAACTTGTCATTCAGAGCACCCATCTCGCTATCCGATATACCCTCCCCATTGCTATCGTCACCGTTGCCAGGCAAGGTGCACGTAAATCAACAACCAACTTGTACATCACACGACATCACCAACAACTGACTCCCACATGGCGCGATCTCAAACGAAAACCCTCCCCGTCATCCCCCTCGCCCGCGGCACCATCCTCCTGCCGGGCGTCGCACAGCGCATTCCCGTCACCGCCGCCCGTCCCGACATCCCCGCCCTTCTCGCGAACGTCTACACCCGCGCCGCCTCTGCGGCCCCGAACGAGCGCATCGACTCGGTCCCCATCGCCTGCGTCCCCGTCTCTTCCCCCTTCGTCGGCCCCAATGGCCAGCTTCTCATCCAGGATGCCGACCAGATGGACGAGTCCCTCATCAAGGAGGTTGACCCCGGCACCGCTCGCAAGTCCGATCTCTACAACTATGGCGTAGCCGCCCGCATCACAGGCATCGAAGGAAGGGGGACTGCCGAGTTCGCCCTGCGGGTGGAAGGCGTTGCAAGAGTTCGGGTTGAGAAGGTCACGCAAGAGAGGCCGCACTTTGAGGCCAAGGTCAAGTACTTCCACGATGAAGGTTCGCCTGCCCCTCTGTCTGCCCAAGTCACAATAAACCGTAGATGATCGCTAACAATTTGCGCAGTGACGACGGATGCCCAGATGCAAGAACTCTTCTCCCTCCTTAAACTTCGATCCCGAGAACTCGTAACGATCCTTCGCATATCCGCACTCCTCCCCAGAAGCCCAGACAGTCCCGGCGGTCTGTCTCCCCTATTGACGAGGAGACTTGAAATGTTCATCAACAAGAAGGAGCTGAAAGACGCTGGTCAACTAGCCGACTTCATGGCCAACATTGTTGAGGCTTCATACGAGGAGAAACTCGAAGTTTTGGCTGCTCTCGACGTCAAGGTTCGCCTTGCTAAAGTCATTGAGCTCCTTGACCGACAGGTCAGCGGGATCAAGAACAACTTCAAAATCACCACCTTCACCAGCGTACCCGTGCAGTTCCTCGACAAGATCAACGATAAGACATCACGTCGTGTCGGCCCCAACGGCGCTCCGCTGCCACCCAACACCATGTTTCCTCCAGGCCCCAACGGCGTCATGGGTCCCAACCAAGACGACGACCAGGAGCCCAACGAGCTGGAAGAACTCAAGAAGAAGCTGGACAAGGCTCAGCTTCCGCCCGAACCCGCCAAGATGGCCCAAAGGGAGTTGAGGAGACTGAAGAAGATGATGCCCGGTAATCAAGAATACCAAGTCACTCGCACTTGGCTGGATGTGCTCTCCGAGATTCCCTGGACTGCAACCACGGATGACAGACTGGGGCCCGACACACTCGCGAGAGCTCGCAAGCAGTTGGATGAGGACCATTACGGCCTGGATAAGGTCAAGAAGCGTTTGGTCGAGTACCTGGCCGTGCTGAGACTCAAGCAGTCCATCAATGATGATGTTGAGGAGCAGATCAAGCAGGCAGAGGCGGAAGCGGCTCCTCCAGCCGAACCTGAGAAGGAGAAGGAAGAGGACGCTGAGAAAGCGAAAACGGAGGAAGCCAACGCCGAGTTGGAGGAGCGCGCAAAGTTGGCAAACACCAAGATCGAGGTTCTGCGATCAAAGCGGATGGTGGACCGGTCGCCTATCATGCTCTTGGCCGGCCCTCCTGGTGTTGGCAAAACAAGTTTGGCAAGATCTGTCGCCATGGCGCTGGGCAGGAAGTTCCACCGAATCTCGCTTGGCGGTGTCAGAGACGAAGCTGAGATTCGTGGTCACCGCCGGACGTACGTGGCGGCCATGCCTGGTCTGATTGTTCAGGGGCTCCGAAAGGTCGGCGTGGCAAACCCCGTCTTCCTTCTCGATGAGATTGACAAGTTGGGCATGTCCAATGTTCACGGCGACCCGTCTGCAGCCATGCTCGAGGTCTTGGATCCCGAGCAGAACAACTCATTCACTGACCACTACGTCGGTCTGCCCATCGACTTGAGCAAGGTGTTGTTCATCGCCACGGCCAACAGCCTAGACACCATCCCAGCCCCCCTCCTTGACAGAATGGAAACAATCTATCTGCCGGGATACACAACGCTCGAGAAACGCCACATTGCCATGCAGCACCTCGTGCCCAAGCAAATCCGGGTCAACGGACTTTCGGACGACCAGGTCAACTTTGACAAGGAAGTCGTGTCCAAGA